TCTGTAAATTTTTAAAAAAATTAAAAATTATTTAATATTTTATTTTATTAATTCAAATTGATGGTTAATCATAAAAGTATTTTATATATTAATTTGAATTTATATAATAAGGTATAAAATAATTTTAAAATTTTTTAAAAAAATTGTAAACTTAAATTTTTATGGAGAGTTAAGTTCTTCTTAAATTTCATAATTATTTTTCTAAAAAAATTTTATTTGTAAAAAAAGTATTAAAGAGAGTATAAAGAATACTCTTATACATGAGTAAATAGTTTATATCGAAAATGTAAAATTTGTTTACATTATTAATTATCTTATTACAAATTGGGATTAATGGCCATACAAAATAGTTTTAGAACTTATTTGAATATAAGTTTAAAAGTACTTTTGAGATTTTTTTTATTAAAAAATACTTTTTTATTTTTAGTAAAAAAAATAAAAATAAAAATATTTTAAACTTATATCTAAACAGACTCTTACATAATCTATCAATCAAGAATCTCTAATAGTAAGTCTTTTAAGGTAATTATTGTTAAAGTAAATAAGTTATTATACAAAATATGTAAAACTATTTTATAGTGTTATTGGATAACTTTTTTCCCTAACAAATTGTCATACATAGTCAAACTTATTAATTTTTTTTATAATAATTACTTTGAAAACCTTACTAATGATAATTTTTGATTGGTTGATTTTTTTTATAGACATATATAAGTTAAAAGGTATTTGAAGTAGCTTCTATAAATAAGTTTGTGCACCAAACAATTTTTTTAATTAAATAACCATATAAATTTGTCAAAATTAGATTGACTTGTCAAACATACTCTTCGTTACTTATATAACAGAATGTGTACACTGATTAAAAATATATTTCTTTTTTTCTAATATACATGGAAGATACATATGTTTAATCTAATTTAGCTGAGAAAAGAAAATGATATTTGTATTATACTTCTGCATAGTTTAAATTTTAAATTAAGAGAAATTCTTTCGTAAACTGCACGTTAAACCCAATTAAAGTGCGAAAAAAAGTTCAAGAGCCATTATTTACTAGGGTGTGTTTGATTTGCTTTTATTTTCACTTTCAGTGGATATATTTTGACTAATAATTATAAAATGTCACTTTGTTAATTTTTATCTTTTTCTTCAGATTTTTTTTAAAAAAGGTATAAGGTAATTAATGAGACAATTTTATAATTATTAGTAGAACTTATCAATTGAAAAAAAAAAACAGAAAACAAAATATAGACAACCTTAATTAGATATCTAGTTATTATACTTTACAGCTTAGTCATTGAGTACATATGTTGACTGCTCGCTGACTGAGTTTTACAAAAAGTTATTTTTTCATAGTTCTATAATGAATTTAGAGTTTAGTTTTGATCTGAGACTGTAAATATTTCTACACACTAACAGCCAGAATTTATTCTTAACATGAATTTTAAAACAATTATTACAAAAATTAATAATTTCACTATATTAGATAATTTACAACTAAATTCTGTAAAAAATATTTATAAATATTAATTCGTATTTTAAATTTTTAATCAAATTCTTAATTTTAACAGCAATTTGTTTTAAATGTTTCAGCATGACTAAGATTTTGGAGCGATACCATGAATGTACGAAAGGTGTTCCAGCCAATAAGTTTGGAGAGGATTATATCCAGGTTTTACTCTCATCTTACAAATTTAGAACACGTTACAATTATGGAAGGAATTATCAATATTGTATAATTTTAATGTTTTGTTTGACTAATCAAATATGTTTCTCCATATTTCTTATTTTTAAAAGGTATCTTTATTAGCAGTGAAAATAAATTTTGATGGAGAACATCTATTTCTATATGTTTAAAAAATTTATAAAATAAAGTATAAAAAATCCTTATTACTTGTATTGCAAAAATAAAATATGAAAAAGCCTTACATGTATTAGACAGTTTAATTTAGTTATCTTTGTTTTTTATTTATTTATAGTTTTCTTCTAATAGACAAATATCTATTAAAATTTTCTCATATTTATATGATTAATAAAGTGAAAATGTGAATAAGAAGTCTTATATTAAATAAAAATGAATATTTTTTTTTTATAAAACAGAAAAATTAAACAACATATAAGTGAGTGACTCACAAACATATAAAACTTTACGGTTTTAGATTGGTTATAACGTTAAATTCATTTATGTGTTTGTTTGGCAAATCATTGATAAAGATTTCTCTAGTGATTTTTACCCTCTTTGTGTTTTCCAACAGGTTTCATCTGTAAAAACGAAAATTTTCCCATTATTTATTTATTTATCATGAATCTTGTAGAAATCTAACCCTAATGAATTATAGAGGTGATTCCTAGGTGTTATTTATACCCATCTTGTATAAATTGGAAAAGTACATATGGACTTGTATACCGCATTATGTATTTAGATTATCTGGTTAAAAAATCAATAAGTATATATAAAGTTTCTAAATTATAGTTATCTATATTGAAAATTCAACTTTCATATGAAAAACTTTTCACTTTTGATTTTTTTAACTAATAGCTTATGATATTGGTTAATACTACCTTTATTCTTAATTATAAACAATAAATGAGATTTTTCTTTCGTCGTAATTATAAGCAACAATAAAGTTGATTATGATTAAATTTCTTTCACGTCTTTCATTCATTATTAACTATTTTCTATATATTTACTTATAACTAACATGAAATATAACAATCATTTAAAATAAATAGTATATTCAAAATAAAACTTGAATTTATGGTGGAATTAGTTAAAAGTAACTATATTAATTACTATCTTTGGTTCTATTTACAAGATTCAACTTAAAATAATTATTTATTCTTTTATATAAGACTAAATTCAAATTGTATCATATATTAATTATTTTTAGACTAAAATATCTCTATTTAAAATGTATTCTCTTAATTTAGTAAAATAAATAAATTATAATTTTTTTAAAAAAATATGCACTCTAATTAGTCAGGAGTAAGGTGATATTAATTATGATATAGAAATATTATAAAGCATGCGCTTTAATTGGTTAGGAGGATAAATGAGTATTAATTAAAAAAGATGAGTAGTATAAGAGTAGTTTTAAAAAATATATATATATAAATAAGATAAATTTATTATTATTAACTAAATTAAATATTTTTCTTAATCTTTGCGAATTAGGTAATTGGGTACTATATATAAGAACAAAGGTAATACTTTTCTTGGTCTTGATGATGTTAGAACATGAAAAATATGAAATAAAAGATATATTATTTATCAATAAATTACATAAAGATGAGCATCAACAAATGACAAATTAAATTAACAAAGGATAAGTAAGATAAAAGTTTAGAGAAAATTGGATTTAAGTATGCTAGGCTTTATTCTTAGAGGAAAAATGTCCCACTATATTGGTAGATTAATTTGTAATGTATTTCTCTCAAAAGATACGACAATCCATTAGATTGATTATGTACAACAAAGGATTTTCAAACTAAATAATACTACTGATCAAAAATATATTTGATAATAAGAAATAATTCTCTAAGAGGGAGATAAAATTTTTACAATAGTATATCTTCCATGATTGTTTCTATATAAAAATCAAGAGATATATTTATAACCACAAAATAAGACTTGATCAAATATGTTAAAATGATTAAATAAAAGATTTAAAATATAATTACTCAATTATATTAAAATGTTAGTTAAAAATAATTAAAATATATTAAAACACAAACTGATTTAATAAAATATTATGTAACAAAAAAATTAATTACATAAAAAAATTTAATTAAATTTTAAATTATAATAAAATTCTCCAACAATCTCCCTCTAATTTAAAATTTAAATAGAATATCAAAATATATTTTGAAATCTTAAAAAAAAAACATTTTTAATGGAGCATGTCATATTAGTTTTTTAATATAAGGAACATTCCAAGTTTGAATCTTATATGAACTTCAACTAAGAAAAATAAGAAGACTTGATTGTCTTCAGCCATATTACTTTTAATCATACTTTGAAATATAACACAAATAATATAAGTGTTCATTTTGAGTTTTAATTAGTGGTGCACATTACGATCTTGCATGGTATCTTGTTTCATGAGTGTCATTTATAGATTTGTCCATATCTCATAGTGACAACTCTACCACTACACTCATTAGGTGAACCTTTCAAAGAGTGATATGTGATGCTCACCCTCACAATTACTGTCCTCAGGTTCATTAAGAAGTATTTTAATTTGTTTTTACTAAACATAAAAATTTATATATACCTTAATCTTGTAATTATCGTAATTTTAAAAAAAAATACACCTTGCATAAGAATAAAAATCAAAACATTTTCATATAATAAATAATTTTGGTATATTTTAACCAATAAACAACTTCATTGTTACCTGTTGAATTCCATTCCAGGAATCGTCATTCACATGAAGTTGGGTATCCATCGTTGTGATTAATTAATGAACTTTAATCCTATTCTCCTCAACAATTTAAGTATTGTTGACACAACTTTTTTCTTGTAAGTAGATATGCATGATTTCTTTGTGACCTTTCACATGTCTAGTCAACAATTGACACCCATGAGAAATTTTTAAATAATCATGATAGGAACAAATTCTAAGAAATAATGCCACACTTCATGAAGTGATATTTGTCACTACTATAGTATGAATGTCAGTCATGACTGACAGGAACACACCTTAATTGTAGTGAAAATGTATGAGAAGATAAAAAAATAACAATATTAATTGATTTATCAACATTCTCTTTATTTTTCACAAAAAAATTGTGGATCTTTTCCTCTTTCTAAGGATGAAACTCATGAAGTATATATGGGTTTCAATTTCATTGTCCAACTTTCTTATGCTACAAACATTAAGCCATGAACTATTAGCAATCATCCTTCCATTAGTTACATATCAATGAATGTATCAAATTATAAATGCAATATGATTTAACTAATACTAGTACACATTGTACTTAGAAGTTTCAAAATTATATAACTAACCAAAAGTAAAATATAAACTTTTGTGCTTCTAGAAAAACATATAATATAATGTTTATGTTATAAAGATGAAAACTTTAAAAAAGTTCTTTCAAGTTTTAGAAACGAAAAGAATATAATTATATCTCAAAATAAATATTTTTGATTACTATAGCAAATAATTTGATAAATAAAATTTTGAATTAATTATTTTTGTTTATACTGAGACATGCTTACACAACTAAAGATTATAAAAACACTAACCTTATCTCATAGTCATGCCACCGGTGTGTTGCAATTACGCTATCCACTACCCATGTCAATTTCAACTTTGATAGTTCTAACACATTTTATGTGAAAAAAAAAACATGGTTAAAGCACTAAAAAAAATGCTACTAATGTTTGAATCAAAAGATTAATAAAAAATTAAAAAATAAAATATTTAAATTTTACAATTTTTCATCATTATTGAAACCATATGACCAATCACTTTGATTAGATTGTTATTCTCTATCATCATTTCCATATTTTCACATGGTTGCACAATTTATTGACTTCTCCAAGTCAGTTTATTATCTTTACCCATGACCACTAGTGTTCATCTTCTACCAAAATAACACAAAGTTTAGTAAATAATTCTTCAACCTCATGTAAGCGACATCTAAAGTATATTATTTATTTTCATGATAAATATTTTTTTTATAAAAAAAGATTTTAATTTTTTAGAATCATGTTTTTCTCTTTAAGATTGTTTGAACACTAAAATAGAAAATAAAATAAATTACATTAAGATGAATATTAACAAATGACAAATTAAATTAACAAAGACTAAAATAAATAAGATAATTTAGAGAAGATTGAGTTGAAGCATGTTAAGTGTTATCCTTAGAGAGAAAACATCTCATTGCAAAAGTATATTAATTTGTAATGCACTTCTTTACTAAGATATGACAACCCGTAGATCAATCAGCGAAAGATCTCTAAATCAAAGAATATCGCTTCAAAAATATATTTAGCAATAAAAAATAATTCTTCAAGAGAGAGATAAATTTCATAGTAGTATGTCTTCCATGGATGCTTTTATTTAATGACCGAGAGATATATTTATAACCACAAAACAAGACTAGTGAAATTTATTAAAAGGATTAAATAAAAGATTAAAAACATATAATCACTCAATCCTATTAAAACGTTAACTAAAAGTAATTAAAAAATATCAAAACACAAATTGATTTAATAAAACATTATGTAGAAAAAATATTTAAATAAAATTTCTAGACAAATAATTTGTCTTATATTACTTATAATTAGGACTAAAGTTAATATTATCCTAATTAAAAAAATGTTTTATGTTAATGTTTTTAGTTTAATTATGACATACATAGTTGAATACCTTTTATTAATTAAGACATACAATAAAGGGAATTAGAGTAGTTATTTATTAGTTTGTTCCTCACTAATGTGTTTCAATATTCTTCTCAACAAAATTTTCTCTTGTATAGCCAATTCAACTGCTAAATAATCAACATCAGTTGAAGATTGGGCCCTTGTTTGTTGCTTCTTTGAAACAAAGAAATCATCCGAGAGAAAATACATAGCCTGACGTGTTTTCAAATATGATACCATACCTCCATAGTTCCCACGACATACCTTGGGAATCTTTTTAGCAACTTTATGATGTAAATGACTTAATTTACTTATGAATTTAAAGAGTAAAGTGGGTGGCAAACATCAATACATATTTACATCCACCAATCTTTCACCATTTTCTCTTAATTTTTCATTCACTACCAAAAGGATATCAACAGGTTTGCAACCAAACATATCAAACTTCTTCAACATATTTTCAGCTACTAAACTCTCTTGATTAACAAATACAACATTTTCATCATGAAAAACCTTAATACAAAGAAAGTTTTGAATGTAAGAAGTCAAGATCACTCATCCTCTCGTCTCATCTCTCTCTATTTTCTATTTCATCTTTTCTCTTTCTCTTCTCTCTCTCCCCATCTCTTCTCATGTCTTTTTATCTCATATTCTCTTTCTTTTTTGTTCATCTCTCTTATTTATTTCTTCTTCTTCTTTTTCTTTTTCTCTCTATTTTTTCTCTTATCTTTTTCTTTTATCTATCAATATTTTTTTGTTACATTTTTATCTATCAATAGTAATATATAAGTTATCAGTATTTGTTTTTGAATCATTACATTTTTTTTAATTATTAAATATTATATATGGTTAAATTTTTAAAATTTAACAAATGTTTATTTTTAATAAAATTTAATATTGATATATCTAATTTTTAAACATATACTAAAATATATTTTAACAATTTTATCAATTAATGAATATTATAAATTTGAACATATTGTTCAAATTCATTAATATGAATGAAAAAATATAAATGCATAAATGACTATATGTAGAGAATTATTATTTAAAAGGACATGAAACCAGAATTAATTATTTATTAAAAGATTAAAAAATTTATTAATTTCAAACATCGTCATTTATGTCATTTATTTTGAGAAATGTATTATTTTTTTGAAAATTTATATTATCCTTTAAAATTTAATAAAATCTTTTCAAATCTTATAAATTCTTAAAATACAAATCTACATTACAAAATCTTAATTAAAAAAATCTCAAAAGTCATTACATTTTTAAAAGTCTTTTAAAAAAATCTTAATTTTTTTTTTAAAATACATAAAACTTTTTTATATTAAAAAATCTTATGAAATTCCAATCCTATACACCCTTTTAATCCATAAATAATTTTCCTCATCATGTAGACTTTTTCTCTTGGTCTTTCGTCATAAAGCCATGAGATTGTTGAACATACACCTCTTATTTTAATTCTCCATTTAAAAAGATTGACTTCACACCAAGTTAGTATAGTTTTCAACCATGATCAATGCAATGTTTACTCTAACAGTGTCCAAGTAGGCAATTAGAGCAATAAGTCTCATCGTAGTCGATTCTAAGTAGTTGTGACTTTTTGAACTGAACCATCCGGATATGATGCTTCAATTTCTACACTTATTTCACTCCAATATATAGTCTCTTTGTCATTTATCTTCTCAATTTTTTCCTTTTCTTCTTGGAAGGCATTCTTCCAAACATCTTTGATTGTTTTCAGAATTTTCTGGTTGTACAATACAATAATTTCACTTTACATAAACACCACTCAAACTCCTTATTTTTCTAGGAGTTGAGGGAGATGATGAACTTGAACTTGGTGTACTTGGAGACTTGATAAGGATGAGAAACTTGATGTATTTAGGGTTGGCTGCTCATTTTCAGCTGTTAAACTCTGCTGCAAAATAGTTGTTGGATCTATTTTCTCCTCACCTTTTCCTCCTTATCAAATACTACATCCCAAATGATGATCACCTTTTTAGCTTTCAAGCTGTGTAGCTCCCTTTGACACGAGACTATAGCCAATAAAGACACATCTCGCTTGTTTGCTCAAGCTTCGTCCTCGTTTCCAATATGTAGATTGACAAATTACTCTTAAATTACTAAAATAATTACAATCTCAAAGAGCCACAACTCTCTGCTAAATATTCCTCTAAACATTATTGACAATAACTAACTGCACATTATTTACTAATTGTTTTTATGATAGCAAGTCATATATATTACTTGCTTTTTGTCATCTTAAACATGCAGCAACTGAAGTTTGACTGCGCAAGCATGGCAAAGAACATTGAGCTTCTTGAACTTTCTAAAAGGTCACTCCTTATTTCAAAATTATAGCTCAATTATCCTACCTCTAGTTCAACATACTCAAATAATTCTGTCTCACTGTGTGTGCGCCAGCGCATGCATGGTTGTTGATATTTCAATTATTCCGAATAGTAGCTGAGGTTTTAGTGCTGCTGCCATGTTAGTTACTTTATTTTTTTCTTTTTGGAATTTTAGCTAACATATTTTTTTATCTATATATTGCTTACTGGATTAAATATATTTTTAGTTTCTGAATTATTGTCAATTTTTACTTTTAGTCTATGAACAATTTTCTTTTGGTTTTGTTTTGGTCTCTACAATTTTCTTCCATAAATAAAAAATCTTGATACCAATAAGAAATAAAAAGTGAAAATCAAAAAAAAGTTTATAGACTAAAACAAATAAAAAATTTGTTCACAGACTAAAAGTGAGAATCGAAAAAAATTTAAGAATTAAAAATATATTTAATCCCTAATGACTTTACATTTGTGTTTTTGCCTGAAATGCGCTGCACTGGTACAGTTTTTTGGTTCATTAATTATTTGAATGTCTTTAGGCAGCTGCTGGAACAAAACGTGAGTTCTTGTTCTTATAATGAACTGAAAGGAATTGAGGAGCAGCTGCAGATAAGTTTGCAAAGAATCAGGCAGAGAAAGGTAATTAAGTAACAACCTGAATTGAGATAACACAAATTAAGCACTCTAGTTGTCTTTTAATTAAATAAGTTAAGAAAAAAAGGCAGAACTGAGAGATTTTGATATTGTTTAATCAGGATCAACTATATAAGGAACAGATTGAGCAACTACAATCCCAGGTAACCTAGCTTCAGTGCTATGTATTTACATGGAAACGCTTACTACTGTATAGAAATCCCTTACGTCTGACACATTTTTCCCACTGAATTTAGGAGAGTAGCTTGGTCAAAGAGAATGCAAAATTAAGTGCAATGGTGAGATCTTGGTCTTTCCCTGGTTTTTGACCCATATAGTTGTATATCACTTATCTTTTATCTGCCAAACAAAAATATGAAATAAATAGATCCATTTAATTTTGATAACGGTAAAGTTTTGACTTTTTGTTAGTTGCTGAGGCATTGGCATTTTTACCGTATGAAATTAGGGTGTCTATTCTAGAACAGTTAGCTAGTATATTTTGAATTGCTGGATAAAATTTTCCAAAGAGTGCACTAATCTTGGATTTAATTTTTAAATGTGTCATGATGTTAATTTTCTAAAATTTTAGGATTAATACTCGTTTTGTATATTTTGTAGACACATTCACCTTATATAAAGCCAAAGGTGTTTATCTACTATGCTTTTGTTGGAAGTAACTTTTTTTTTTTTTATCGACTAAGAAAATAGATATATTAAATTGGTACAAAAATATTAGTTGGAAGCAACTTAATTTCTTTCCCACATCAATCACTCAGTTTACAAATATTTAATTTATATATATATATATATATATATATATATATATATCATATCCAATCTAATGTTAAAATTTTATTTATTGAATTTATTAAAAAAAAAATGTAACGAGTTTGATTATGTTAGTACAATAATATATTAAACTTGTCAAATAATGTGACAAGTATTACTAATTTAGGTAATTTGTCTTGGCTATACTTGCCTCCTTTCCTGCCCTTAATTTAAAAATGACACATTTGAAAACATAACATTCTATTTTATTTTAAAATAATTTTTTTTTAGTTAGGAGAGACAATAAAGGAGATAAAGAAAGAGGCAGGTGATTTCATTTCAACTAAATTATAATTTTTTTATCATAATATCATATAATGTGGAGGTAAATGCTATCCTCAGACTATAATTAGGATAGACAACTTCAACATTCATGTGACTGTAGGTTTGATTTAAGATGCTTTCTTAGAAGAAAAAAAGCCAGGTAATTGATTCAACTGGTACATATCTAATTATGCTGAATTCGAATCTTGTACATAAAAGAAATTGTTGGGAGGGAGAATTAAACTTACCATATTATAAATATTTCTAAGTTGAATAATATTTTTGGATGTTCTTGATCCTTTAGCCACTATTGTGTAGTGAGGAGAGACCATGGGTAGGATTATTTTCTGGAAAGAAATTGTGATTTAGACTAAACAATTAAAATAAGGTTGAAAAGTTAAAAATTGTTCAGTATAATAATAACTTTCAACTAAAATTAGAGATGAAAAAAATAGGAATTAACACTATTTTTACATGAAAAATCCTCAACTGATATAAGAAAAATAAAGGATAAAATTAGAGAAATATTTTCACTAAATAAAAAAAAATTACAATCTCTCTTTAAATAAATAAATATATATATATATAAGGAGAATAATGACACACTTTTTCTTATAATGGGAGAATATATACAGTTATGCATTTTTATTTTTAACTCTCAAAAAGGAGTTACAACTTACAACCAATTGTAGAGGTCAAAAATCATTTCTAAATAGCAGCACTCTTAAAATTGAAATTCTACCTAAATATTCTAGATAGCTGAGCACATATGTAATAGTAAAGTGAAAGTTAAGTGATTTAGGGCTAATTATTAATATGGCTATATTCTGGTTACAGTTGATCAATGAACAAATTCTCATCCTCACATGGCTTGATCAAGTAGTTAAGGGGTGAATTAGGATAAGTGGTGTAGCTTGGTCTAGTTTCCATAACTGAAAAAATGATATATATTGTCATTTTTTTTATGTCTGATTGTCTGTAGCTTCTAACTAAGAAAGGTAATCCCTAATAAAATTTAAAAGTGGACAATATTAAAATTATTTGAAAATAGCAAATATTTTGAGTAGGTACCTTTCTTTGACAGTACCTAAAACAACAGTATCATTGGAATTAATCTGTGACTATTCAATTCCACTTTTAAACTAATAAAAGTCCTCCTTGATGGCTGATTTTTCAGATTTTGATTCTGACCTTATATAATTGAGATTACTTCATTTATAATTTAATCCTTTACTTAGCTGTATCTTTGGAATTAAGTCAAACTTCATCATGTTCTTTAATTTATCTAAACATATTCCAAATATTCTGTTTCAAATCACAATAGAATTGTCAATATTATTATTTATTATGGTAATATTCAACCTAAACATTATCTCAAAATAACCTGACTAATCAAACTTGTCCCATTTTTCTTTTCACACATTTCTTTCTTTTATTAGCCAGATTTCTTACAAAAGAAACAAACAACTGCCTCTGATTCTCGTGATCATCTAGTCCATACGATTTGCTTCTACTATTCACTCTTTTTTAGAGATTTTGTGGGATTCTCGTTCCTTCAACACATGTATTTTCTCTTTCAATGATTATTAGTGGAATTGCAAAATGGTGTGAGATAAAAATAATATAAGAGTGGCATATATGATCCTCTTACAAATTAAATAATAGTTACATTACGTAACCGCTTATCCCTTTGTGTATAATGGGAATATGGAATCTGTACTCGTGGAAAGGGACACTACCTTTACTAAGCTTTTCTTGTGGATGGCAGTGGCAGAGGGAAAAAAAGACATCCCAGAAGCAGCAATGGGGAGCAGAAGCCGAAGCAGCAAGTAGCCACGCTTTTGAAGTCGATACAGAATTATTTATTGGACTGCCAAAGCAGCATTGCTGATTATATAATGTGCACATATATATATCAATCTAATAATCATTTTGCAAAATGACAAATCTCAATGTCTCACAAAATATATACCCCTTCCTCAGTATATAATCCTATAAAATATAAATCTCCAACCTTCTCAAGCTCATCAATTAATGTTCATATAATTCTTTATTATAATATGGGCCGCTTTGTTTGTTCTTATTCATTAGAATTTGAAATAAATAAGGACATTAATTAAGAGAAAATGTAGTATGTATGAATAGAGAAGACACATGTAATGGAGTCTTTTCAACATTCACTCCAGATATCTGTATTTGTTTACTATATCATAGTGATGTTCATCTTCTATCTCTAACTCTTTGGGTGTGTATATATGTAGCTTCAGACCAGGATACCATCATGGAATCATGGAGTCATGATCCAACTATACTATACTATATATATATATATATTTGTTGAGTTATGTGTTGTCATAATGTAATATTATGACATTAAATGTGTTCTCATATGGTATTCATATGACCTTTTACATTTGTAACTGTTATAACATTTTAAGGGTTATTTTCTGTCTATAAATGTCTAAGAATGCACCGTAGAAATAGAGCAAAAAAATATAATAAAACTTAGAACAATTTAGATTCAAATTATCTTCCTTTTATTAAATTTTCTATGCACAATTTGCAGAAAGTAAATTCCTAGAGTGTTCGATATCAACATTACCTCTGGAATAACTTGACTATTGTAGTTTTAATTAATTTTAAGGATAAAATATTTCAAAATTAATTGATTTAATCATTGTTATTAATTATAGTCACAACGATCAATATTTTGCTCTTATAAATATTGAGATTTAGTAGGAGTCAAGTGGCCTGAGCGTTGCTTTCTTCTCTATTCTATCTTTTTTAAGTTAAGAACTTGCTATAGTTCTATATCCTTAGTCTATTACTGTAAAGATCTTGTTGTATCCTAGGGACTTGCATGGGAGTCTATGGATAAGTCCTTTAAAATAATGCATTACACGTCTCAGGAGTTCAAATTTGTTCACGTTCTCAGCATCCATGGGCAACACAAACATGCAACATTGAAGAAAAAGAAATTCACAAATGCTGGAGTTCTTGGGATGATTCAAAAAGGAGTCTTACTGGCCATATATTTTCCAAGGATCATGAGGGAAAAAATAAAGGAAGCATGGAAAATTCTTCAACAAGAGTTCGAAGGAGATTCAAAGGTGAGGATAGTCAAACTTTAATCTCTTAAAAGAGATTTTAGGAATGAAAAAATGATAGAAAAGGAAAGTTTAAATGAATACTTCAATAGATTATTTGAATTGGTGAATCAAATGAAGTCCCATAGAGATACAATAGATGATCGAATAATTGTTATAAAATTCTTATTAGTTTGACTGAAAAATTTAATCATATGATAGTTGTAGAAACTAAGGACTTGTCAACCATAGTTGTTCAAGGGCTGATAGGGTCGCTATGAGCAAAGATTGCTACGTTGTATTAAAAAATTAGTTGAAAGCATGTTTCAATCCAAACTCATGGTATCATCTCAAAATGATAAATCAATTAATGGAGTCTTAGGGGTGGCAGATTTAGAAAAGCAAGAGGAAGATGTTAGAAAAGATGAAGGTGAATTGGATATTTGAAAAATTATTTTCTAAATCTTTATTTTTCAAAAACTTTTCTAAGGAAGTTTATTTCAATTGATATAGAATAGGATGTTGAGATTGATTTCTATATTTAAGAATAGGCTATAAATCCTATATGATATGCAAATATTCATATATGATAGACTCAATACATTCAATCAATATAAGCAAGAATTCAAATAAAGAGTATAAGAATAGAGAAAAATTAAACACAAGATTTTTACTGGTTCAACCACTATCATTATGACCTACATTCAATCCCTAATCAATTCGGTTGAGATTTTTTCACTATCTTTAGATTCAGAGTATTACAATCACACACACATGCAATAAACTCCTAAATTCTAAAGATACACCTATTTCTTGTCCCAAGAAATATCCCTTTTAGTCACCCACTACACAAACTCCTAATCTTGAGAAACCTACTCAAGAAAAATAATCAAGAGAGTTTTAGAACGAATTCACTTGGATACAAAATCAATCAAAGAGGTGAATCAATATTAGTAGTTTAGCCTTTCTCTCAAGTTGGATGATGATGATTCTTGAATTCTTTCTTAAAATTTTTCACAAAGGATTAAAAAATTATTTGACAAAGAAAACACAATTTTCAGAGAGTCTTTTTTGCAAGGATTAATTATCACAAAGATACAAATGTTTTGGTTCTTAAAAGATTTGAGTTTGAAAATTGATTTTATAGAACTCTTTGATTGAAATAATTGATTATTTACATGGATAATCAATTATTTTGTTCTTAGTAAATTTACAAATCAAGCAAGAACACTTTATTGATTATTTGCCGAGATAATCGATTATTATAAAGCACTGACTCTGAAATAATTAATTATTGCATAATGATAATAGATTAGAACAGTGTGCTTTTGACAAGGAGAAAAACATAGTAAATAATTGATTATTTTAAGTGGATAATTGATTATTTTGAGTGACTGACTCAAATTCTCAAATTTTCTAGTTCAAAACCAATTTTAAAACTTTTTCATCATCAATCTTTATCTAACAAGAGATATATGACTAAGTTACTCACAATGCACAAAACAGACATGCATACCAAAGCATAAAAACAAATCAATACAATTTGCACTCTCTTAACTATGAGAAACACTCTTTTAATCATCAAAATATAAACTGTTTTCATCATGAGCTTGATCAATAGAAGAAGCTCACGTGGAAGCGGAAGAGACTATTATGGCGGAAGAGGAAATAATGGAGGATCAAACAAGTGGTGTGAAATCTACAAGAAGAACAATCATGAAGAAAAAGGTTGTTGGAACAAAGGCAAGCCACAATGTAATGTTGCAAAAGGTTAATTTGGGCATATCCAAAAAGATGCAATTTTGGCAATTAGTAACACAATTCATTTGCTAAAGCAAAAAATGGTGAAGGGAACTTGTTGTTTGCTTGTCAAAAGACAACTCAAGAGCATAAGAACATATGATATTTGGACGACAGATGCAAAATCATATGATCAGAGATAAAGAAGTTTTTGTTAACATGGATTCTTCATTTGCCTCAAGAGTTAAATTAGGCAATGAAGAGTATGTTGAAGTAGAAGGCAAAGGCAGCATTGGAGTTACAACAAAGCAAGGAGGTAAGGTGATTCATGATACTTTTTATGTTCCAAAATTAGATAAAAATTTGTTGAGTATTGGACAACTTTTGATTTGAGAGTCGAAAGTTTATAATTTTTTATTCAAAAGGAAGAATTATTGTTGTGGTAAAAATGATAAATAATAAAATTTTTTCACTTTCTCTTAATTATTAGAGAAAACTCAACTGGTCAGAGAAGAGAATAACTCTTATCTATAGCACAAGAGATTTATGCACTTAAATTACAATGGTCTTATGCTGCTTTCTAAAAAGAACATGGTGCTTGGACTACCAAAAATTGAGAAGAAAAATGGAGTATGTGGAGGATGTATGCCTTGGCAAACATCGTCACCAAACATCCCCAAAGGAAGGAGCAAGAAGGGTCAAAGAAGTGTTAGAATTGGTGCACACATGTAAGTGGCCATATGAGTACCCCTTCTCATGCTCAAAATAGGTACTTTATCTTATTTATTGATGAGTTGACTTGCATGACATGGGTGTGTTTAATGAGAATAAAAAATATGAAGTATTTGATGTATTTAAAAAGTTTAAATCACTTGTTAAGAAACAAAGTAGTAGGTTTATAAAAATCTTAAGAAGTGATAGGGGAAAGGGGTATATCTCCAATGAATTTCAAAAGTTTTGTGAAGATGAAGAATTAAATAGAAAGTTGATTGTTGGTTATACACCTCAACAAAATGGTGTATCAGAAATGAAGAACCAAACTATGATGGAGATGACAAAATTCATGTTGTTTGAAAAAGGAATGCTTAGAGAATTTTGGCCAAAGGTTGTTAATACAGTAGTGTACCTGAGGAATAGATGTCCAACAAAAACTGTTTGGAATATGGCACCATTTATACTTATTAATAGTTGTACTATTAGATTATGGATACTCTAATGAAAATCATGTAAATAAATAAATTTTAAAGGATTTAAATGTTTAATCATATTTTTAAAATAGTTAAAAAAAATATCTTACTTCGTATAAATTTAAAATAATAAAACTACTTTGTTGCTACAAAATAGTACATATAATAAATTTAAAAGGATATGGGCTTGCTTCTATAAATTGATCTGAACAAAAGATATGATAACTGTAATTATGTTTGATGACCACAGTGGCTTATGTTTTTATTCCTCTTAAACATTTTTTTCCCTAGCATTCATGATCGAAGAGTGAAAGTTCCTTGTAACAACTAACTTTGTTTAATCAATAAATAAATGTTGTTTCCGTAAATGAATTGAACAAGTAAACAGTTTTTTTTCTTAAATATATTTTTATCCTATAGTTTTACAGACTTGTAATTTTGGTTCTCAAATTTTTTCTATTGCAAATTCGGCTCCTAGTTTTCAAGATTAAATAATATTAATTCATTCATTAATATATTATCTAAATTAGTTTAAACAAAATATGTTAACATGTCTGTGAATGACATTGTCTAGTAATTACTTAACATTAACTTTTATGTCTATGTTATTTTTTATTTCAATTAAAATTATAATCTATACAAATAATTTTTAAAATTTGTAATACCATTAATTTTTACGTGGCTAATTAACTATCAATCAAATAATATCTTTTATGAACACATCAATATTTTTTGTTTAAGTTTGGATGACATGTTAATGAATATATCAACATTCATTAATTTTAAAAACTATGAGGATCAAATTTATAATAAATATTTCAGAAATCAAAATTGTACATTATAAAATTATAAAAAGTAAAAGTAGATTGAAGTCTTTTTTTTTATTTATTTCTACCTGTCTAAAAACAGCATATCAGCAAAAAAAAAAAGGATTTTTTTTTCACTTTTTTTTTTTAATCTATCTAAACAACATATTTTATTGGAAGCGACCACTGTTGAGATTATAATTATAGTTGGATCTCTAAATTGTATCATCCATCAAGATGGCGAAGTGTTTATTAGATACTTTTTGGTTTGGTCTATTTCTAGATATATAGGTTTTACTGATCTCTACTAGTTCTCAAGTTTGGGCTTTGCTTTCCATTTCATCAGGAAACACACTAGGCCTATTTCTACTAGGCCCACATGGTACAAAGTAAATTAGTGAGTCTATATAT